ATGAGGAGAAGCACCAGGCATGAGCATCATACTTCTACCACCCATCGCCAAGGGAGGGCAGTGGTGTCCTCTTCCTCCTCCTCCAACGATGATGATGATGGTGGTGAGGAGGATGTTGCAGGTGCTAGTGGAGCTGTTGGTGCGGATGATGTCTATTGGGACACCATCTAAGAAGATGAGGAGTGAGTGTTGGTCTTTCTTCTTTTCTTCTCTTTTTGGTACTTTATGCCAAAGGGGGAGAAATTAGAGAGGGGTTAACAACTTTTTCTACACCATGAAGAGGAGGTTGTTGTAGCTGGAGCTTCATGTTCTTATCCATTTAGAGTAGACTTCGTTAGGTTGAGAGTTTGAGAGACGATTCAAAACTCTATTTATATAATAATGCTACCTAAGTACTTTATATGTGTGGGATATGGACATGAATTAATCTATGATGTAGCTTGTGATAATATTGTGCTAGAATATACATCTTTATATATGTTACATGTTGTGTGGGGCCTGTTCTTATCTATGCTGTTATAGCAAGTGCGGCAGTGCCGCACCCAGGAGCTGTAGTGTCGCACCCAGCTGTTATAGCAAAACTTGTTGTGCATGAAATGTCATTCGCATCATGTCTACATACCTAACATAGTATGCAGCACCCCACAGGAGCATGGATGTAGGGGGAGCCCCATCACTTTCACTAAAATGTGAATCTTGGCTTCTTATGCTAATTTAAGAATTCAATTCTCTACTCACACTTTTAGGGGGAGGCTCTACACCCATGGCTCAAAAATCTCAGTTTTCATTTCATATCTTGTGTAAGTTCTAATTGGGTTGTCATCAATCACCATAAAGGGCGAGATTGAAACTGCAATCAAGCCCTAATTGTGGGTTTTGGTGATAATGACCACGCAATTAGAGAACTAATAAGATTTATCAAGATGACAAGCAGGGAATCTATATTCAAGGATGTTACACGAAATGGAGGGGCCCCCAATTACAAATGTTGATGGCTTCAAACTCAAAGGAGGTTTAAATTCTTTTATATTTTGAATTTAAGTATAAGAAAAGTCGTACTTTAAAGGGGGACACAATGCTTAAGCGAATATGTGCTACCAAGTGCTCAATCTTACACATACATCCTTAGTTACTCAACCAAAACAGCCAACGCTTCACTCTTAGCCTTGCTGTCTTGCTTGGTGCGGCAGTGCGGCACTGCCGCACTTGAGCCGCAACACTGCCGTGACTTAAGTGACCATTGGGGCTGGGGGTACTTATACCTTTCCCTTGCCTTCCCAACATCTCTTTTCTCTTTTCTACTCATTCAGCACATCCTAGAATAGAAGAGTGCCCTTCTCTCTCTCTCCTCCATTGGTGACTTGAGCTCCCAAGCATTCTCCCTTGATTTGCCCATCAATCCTTGAGAGAAAAAGGTCCCAAACTCAATTAGAGAGCATATCCTTTGATTCCCCAACTCAAAAGAGCACTTGGTTCACGTTTTGGCCGGTGGTTATGTTTATTACTCTTTGAGCTTTGCTCCTAGCCGGCTAGAGCATCGCCCGTGGAGCTTGCCAACTTGTGTGGCAGCACCAGGAGGTTTGTAACCACCTCTTGAAGCTAGTAAACTCACCCCTCATCTAAAGAGTTGAGTCTCTTGACTTGAGAACAAGAAAGGGTTGCAAAACCCTAAGCCTTAGTGGCTAACCTCAACAATGTGGACGTAGGCAAGCCTTTGTGGTGAGCTGAACCATGGGTTAAATCATCGTGTCACCTTGTGCTTGATTTACATCATTTGCATTTCATATTGTTGTTGAGGTGATTTCTAGGGTTTGTGGTCGATCTTCTTATGTGTTGTGTTCCTACCACTTCTAGCTCTTGCTCTGTGAATCTCATACCTGTAGGAAGCTAAGAAATTTCTCCGATTCAAGTTTACATTCACTGATTTTGAACTGTGACTCGAAGTTGTCTGTAGATGCGGCAGTGCCGTTGTTCTGGCCCGGCAGTGCCGCTGTCCGGCAGTGTCGTGAGGTCAGAGCGGCAATGTTGTCTATTGAATTTGATAAAACTTTGAGTGTTTGTTTTGACAGGCCTATTCACCCCCCTCTAGGCTAACCAGAGATCCTACGGGCCTCCAATAAACGATGAAGGCATCACTATCCTCTTTCCAACAGATTATGCTCTACCTTCACCAGCATGTAGGCTATCAACCAATCCTAGGTAGAGATCAAACCTAATATCATCTTGATGGTTGCGTATATAATCTAATCAAGAATTCTTGATCTTGATGTATGTGTCAACTGCAAACTACTGGAACAGACACTTGCCATACAGTATGGGGTTAAATATTCCTGGACGCATCTGAAACTTGTAGCAGTAGTAGTCACGCACAAACACGCATAGTCTACTAGGGGAGTCTACAAAAAATAACCATGAATTAGAGTTGTTTGTAGAATAACCACTAAGGTACATGTATGCGAAGTATTTAAATAAGAAGAATAACAAACCTGTTTCTTCTTCTGATCCACTACGGGCCTTCTGTAGGGCACAGTACTTGATAACTTCTTCCATATTAACTCCTTTCTTTAGAGTATCCATGTGCCACTCAAGCTCACCCTTAGGGAAGAATAGAGGGTATGAAAGAGCATCGTAACATCCATGATATGAGCGGATGTCATGCCTCCTTCTATCTTTCCCATGTAGGACAACACTATTCTAGAACTGACCAAGGAGTTCGCTTCCCTCGATCCAAACGACAGCCACCTCTGAAGTTGACGACATATTGTATGTTCTCTGGTCCAGCCTCTGGTCAAGGTTTAGTGCAACATGATAGTCCTCGAGGTGGTCAGCCTGGCCCAAACTCCTAAGATGTTGTGAGTATGGGTTATCATGAAGGATGGCTACAAGCCTCTCAATGACTTCCTTGTCTTTTTGGCACTTCTCTTCATGACATCGTCGATAGCGGTGCTCAAGGCTTGGATTGTCGTCGTAGAAGTAAAGCTCAGATGTCTACCCCTTACCATCTTCTCTGCCAAATGACCTTATATTGTGATAGATCTGGCTATGTGCACAGAAAGTGTATATGCCACTGTTTTTCATGCTTGCAGTTGCACTATCGAGGCAACAATATAGAGAAGTGAAAGAGAAATGGCCATTGAAAAACCTAATGTTGTTACAAAAGTGCCTAGCATCTGCGTCGTTACTTGACCAAAGCCTCATAAGCTCATCAGGTACATTCGGTTCATTGAGCTCAACCTTTCTGCTGCGACAACAAAACCTAGGTGGTTCATGCTCAAACCTTTTCGCATCGCAGTGCCTGCAATTTGTGACATATTTTAGCATATGGGTATCTATAGGCATGTTACTATACACCTCATTGTATTAGTCAGGTACTTCAAGGACACAAGCCATGTCTTCCTCAAGGTCATTGTCTTGGACATCATCATCATCTTCCTCATCTAAAATAACAATAAAGCCACAATAGTTTAGATAAAGCAATGGAAGATTTGATTTCTATTCTGTCTTTTGCACAAATACCTTGCCCAGCAAATAGGTATCCCTCATCCTCTTCAAATATATCTCCCTCATCATCATCTATAGCCGTCAAAGATACGTGAGTTAGTAGAACTATGAGTAAAAATAAACAAAGGAGTTCAAATAGTTTATAAAATGTTAGAAAATAGTGTAAATTAGCACTGTCATCAAATAGTGGTGTCGTCGGTGCGTCTAACCTAGGCTGAAGGCTAGGTCCTATCCTTTCTGATAATCATGTAATGACCATGGTTGAGTTATGTATAATATGATATATAATTAGGTCACCTAAATGGGATAATGAAGCATCAGTACTTACCGTTGTTGGTCACAGCTGATTGAGGCAAGGGCGTGTTAAAATCCACTCGATCTTTAGCCATGCATTCACAATCATCAAACAATGGTGTCGTCAGTGTGGCTGATGTAGATGGAATGTTGGGTTTTGCATTTTCTGCTAATCACGGAATGACCAAGGATCGGTTAGGTATAATATGGTATATAGGTCACCTAAATGGGATATGAGGCATCAGTATTTACCATTGTTGGTCTGTCTGATTGAGGCAAGGGTGTGTTAACATCCACTCGGTCTTCAGCCATGCAGTCACCATCTTTATTAGATGCCCTTGTATTCGAACCAATGCGACGCTCAAACATCGTGTTACGATGGGTCAACAATGCACGTCTTTGTCCAGATGGAACATGTGATCTATGTGTCATATGGCCAGGTAGTAACTCATCACATCCTTCATCATTGGCCTCCTCACATGGTGGAGGAATATAAAGAGGTGTTGCACTGGACTCTAGAATAACCCAATCAATGGATTGAATAACCCAATCATTGGATTTCACCGTGGATCCATGAGCTCTAGATGCACCCGCAGTGGGCCACACAAGCTCAGGAATAAATAACGGGTTCTCCATGGCGATAGACTCAGGGTGTAGGGTGTGTTTCCGCAACTCTCTAAATTTTTTGTCAGCTATTTTCAAGGCCTTCTTACGCTTGGGTTCACTATTATGCAGCCTTTGACTCTCACACCTTGCTTCCCTTTGTTCGGGTGTCATATTTTTGTACCTCTCACTAAAGTACTTACTTCGTGATGTACTTTGCACACATGTTTTATTAGCATAGGTAGTAGGGGTATTGATGAAATCAATTGTGCTCTCCTTCACTATAGTCTCCATTTCTGGCTCATCTATCAATGTAATCATATAAATGCAACATTAGTTTTATTGAGTAATTATTGCAATATCTTTTTCAAGGAGCTAAAATATTTCAGCATCTTTAATTACATGATGATTGTGGACATATTCTCATCAACAATATTGTTGGTATGATAGGAATCATTCCTATGGACCCAATCATCTGTTTCTATAGGATCCACGTTTCCTTATTTGATGCAGCGTCATTATCTACAAAATATTTACACATTACATATATCTGTAAGAAAAAAGTGCATGTTAGTTCATCAGTACATGACAATGTTAATATGTTAGGATGCATTATAACTGGTAGTTCCAATAACATGTTGCTTTTTTCTTTGATGATAGGCTTCACGGCGCCTCTTATTAATTGCATCCTTCCTCTTATTAATTGCATCCTTTTGTTGTTGCCAACGAGCTCTATCCCTTTCCCTCTTACGTTCTTTAGCATCATCGACTGCAGTTAAATTTGAATTAATATAAGTAAACATACACATAGTACGTGTTATGTAATATTTGATACGATGTTATTATATTACCTTCTTTGGAGTTGTTAGTCTTGTCTCCCAATAGTGCACGGGTATTATCATCCATTGTATAAATCTATAATAGAATAATGCAATTAGCACTTAAAGGCTATAATGAAAATCAGTATTGAAATCAAGTGAACATGTGTTCGGCTGTTTTGCAACAATTGGATTAGTGTGAGTGAAATAGGAATTGAAATTACAAAGGTTCAGTTTGGTCAGAAAGCAAGTTGTTGAGTTGAGACAAATTTATATTGCAGATGTGGCATGCGTCCTTTTTCGGTCAAGGCTGGTTGCTAGCATTAATATTGTTGAATGTTTAAACTGAATATTTAGATGGCATCACAATATAAAATAAAATTCCATGTATCTATAACTCATCCATAAGTCACCATACATATTTAGTCGAGAGGAAAAGAACTACTGCAAAGAGCTGATAACTGAACTTTGCCTTGCCTGTGGGCCCTGGCGGTGTAGATGACTTTCTGGAGGTGGGCAGCAGCGAACTGGTTACTGGATCTGCAGGTAAAGAAAGCAAATTTGAAACCTTCTTGTAACACCCCAGGTGTTTGGCTTCCACATTTGCACTTGCATTTCATAAACATGAGCATCATTCATCCATTCATGAGCTTATATTGCATGAAACATGCTGGTGAAACATTGCAACATATTGTTATATTTCATGTGTGTTTGTTTTATGAAAAGAATAGTGTGCAACACTCAAGTGCAACATGTGTAACTCACTTTAGTGAAACATGGTTAGTAGTACTATGCAACACACTCATGAAACATATGAAACATGGCCTTGAAACAAAAGTAACACTTCACTTGTTCTTTCCTGTTTCAATGCCTGTGATGCCTGATTTTGGTGTGACCAATGTGTGGTTGGCTAATAATTCTCTTAAGCAACTTAGTTATACTTAGAATGTCATTAGGAACAAGGTTCATGTTGATCATTTTGCCTAATTAGGTTTCCAAGTCATGGTTTGACCAATTTGGACTCCTAGAGCTCCTACGTTTGACTGTTTTAAAAGTGTAGCTTAGGATGTTTGCATGTCTGAGCAACCTAAAGCAAAGCTATAGAAAATTATATAAGGAACGAAAGTTATTTTATGACCATCTCATGAAAATGTGTAGAACATGCTCAAAAATGGCCCACAAGTCAGTTTGAGGTCTATTTGGAAATTCAGGAAATTTTCTAAGTGTTGGAACTGCTTTCCAGTTTCATGAAGTCGACTTTGGAACCTTGTAGATGGAAATCCATGGTGAATTAGCCCGAGCTTATGTTGAGTCATTTGGAGTACTCACTTAGCTCTATCATGTAGTCCAACTGGATTAGAATTTGGCCGAGCCGATTAGGAGATAATTACCGTTAAAGTTCGCCTGTCAGTCGGCACCATTGAGCACTGAAACGAAAAGTTCAGATAGCTACAGTGATCACCGTTTCAGAAAACGTCCGACGCGTGGGTGACACTCGTCGCCGGTCGCCTGACGCGCAGGCCACGCGCCGCGGCCGTCCTGGCGTTGCTGGCCACGACGTGAACACTCCGCGCGCCTACCCGACCAGCTCGTCAGCCCATTTCTCATTTCTTCACCTCCACCACGCGCAGCAAGTGAGCTCAAGCTGCTCCGCCATTGCCGCTCCAACCGCGCCATCGCAGAGCTTGCTCACTGCTGCACCACAGCCACCACCGTCCCAACCAAAGCTCCGCCGTGTCCTCCTATACCTCGTCGACCGCCTAGCTGAGCCATCTGTACCTTAGGTGAGGGCCATTGGCCGTTTTTCTGCTGCCGTCTCCGTGGCCGCGCCTCGTGGAACGGAGCTCACCGCGACCACCCACCACCGAGACCTCCTCGTCCTCCTATCTCTGCTTGGACAGCTCCGTAGTGACGTCGTGGAGCTCATAACGAGCTCGGGTGAGGCGGCAAGGGCTTGCCATCATCGGTGCCTCGTGCCGGAGCTCTGCCGTGCCGCCTTCACCGGCGACGAGCCCCCTCCGCTAGGTCGTAGCTCTAGCTGGTAGCACCAATCGGTTCCTCTCCTCGCGTAGATCATGTAGGTAGCCGTGGTGTCGCCGGAGTCCTCGCCGTCGGCGAGCTAGACCACCACCGCACCATCGAACGCCGCCATCCCCTGTTTTCTTTCGCTGACCTGTGGGGTCGTCTGACCCAAGGGTCCCGCTCGTCAGTGACCGTTGTGTAGAAGCTAGTTCAAATAATTCTAGTTTTAGTGTTGTTTTGTGAAATTTATATCTCCAAATTGGTAGATCCAAATTGAGTACTTACAATTTTGTTAGGATCATAGTGAAGTCTAGTATTTAGTAAAAATATGACATGAACACTTGTAGTGGAAAATTTGGATGAATTAAATTGAAACTTGAAATGTGTTTTTGAATGCATGCAAACTTGTTTAAATCATATCTTGAGTTTCTGTGATCCAAAAATTATGAAATTTTGTGGGTAAGCTAGTCTTGTATAGTAGAAGCTCTGGTTAAAATTTGAGAGTCATTGCATGTGTATTTTTTGAGTTATAGATTTTCCTTTTATCATTGGTGGATACTTGTGTGAATTTTTGTAATTTATCTATGAATCCAATGACCATGAAATTTGTTGGAGAATGTCCTAGTACCTTAAGGATGCTAGGAAAAATATGAAATCTATTGCTTGACACTTTTCACTAAGGTTTCCTAATTATGCCATTTTAAGCCATTCTGCCTTACCATTTTTGTGTAGGTTGTTATACTTAATCAAATGGTGTGAAATTTTTATGGTAGTCTACTTAGGGAATGTAGTGTCTACTGTAATTTTTGTAGATTTAATGGTGTAGTTTTCATATATGTTTACTATTTTCTCTAATTAATTAAATAAATTAAGAAAGGTATTAAAAGAAATGTTTTGGGGATGAACATCCAACTTTCTGGTGTTCTTGTGATATGTGTGATGAGGTAGTAAAGTTAGTTTTGTCCAATTATGTGTTTATATCATAAGTTAATAATTATTTTTTTGCATTATGTCCTTCTGGACAGATCTGGGGACTTTGGAAAATTCCCCATGATATTTTGATTTTCTGGGAATGTGATGAATACAAAAGTTGTAGATAATTTATGTATCTAGCTCCTGTCAAAATTTGAGGGCATTTGGCTCAGTAGTTTAGAAACTACAACTGTTTAAAGTTAGGTTCCTGTTTTGCTTACTCTCTGCCTTGTGAGGATAGAGTTCTGTTGATTTATGAATTCAACCTGGTAAAGGTTTGAATCATGCTTTGAGGTCTGAAAATGAATTTCAGACAATTTCATAAGCTTTCCAGATTTTCTTGTTGCATGTCATTTAGATTTATACATCTCCAGTTATGGCTAGTTTACTGCATCGCTACATAGTCTTCATTTTGCTGAAATACAAATGCTTGAGTGTATGCTTGATGCAATGTTTCTGTTGATTGTTAGGGGTTAGCCTAACTTGAGAATATGCTTAGGTGCAGGTGCTAGGTCATTAACTGAAGATGAGCGATTATATATTAGGTTGTATAAACTTGGTAAGTAAAGTGATTTGAATAGGGCTTAAGTTGGAATATGCAAACTACAGCGAACATGCGCATTCCCCGAGCATCCCTGACATTCGTTCATGTGCATCCATGATATTTATCTTGCGCCTTCATGCAATAGGTGTGCCGAAGGGAGTGACGTTGCTAGAGTTCGAGGGAGCCAACCAGGAGGAGGAACCCGAGGTGCAGGAAGCCGACGAAGCAGTCGCCGCGGAGGAGTTGCCCGAGTGCCCTGACCATCAGCCTTCCGCGTTCCTGAAAGGCAAGCCCTGGAGCATTATAAGTCTCCCATGTCTTTACAAATATATTGAGTATCTTTTATTATTGATGCTGCATTAAGTATAGGAATTGGTTGGAACCAATTGCTGCATTATATATCCTTCCTTGTCCAGATATCGCACTGGAATCCTATTTAAGTTCAGGAATGGGTTAAATGCTTAGCCATGCTTAGTGCGATAGAAGTCAGGTGATTTCCTGTCACCTACAAACTTTAGGATGAGGTGGATCACGGTTGGCTATATTTGCTATCGTGGAAAAGAACCATGTGAATAATGAATTAAGACCGGGCGGGGTCTTGTGTAGGTTTGAACATAGTGACTCCGTCTGAGTCGTTTAAGGACCGATACGCTGTACGTCCTCAGGTCATGTTGAACGCAGCCTAACACTTAGCTGGCCGGATAAGTCGTTCCGACCGCGAAGCCGAGTAGCTCAACTCAGGCCAAGAACCGTGGGGGTTGGATGCATTCTGGAGGTAGTAAGGATGTGCGAAGAGCCAGTGGCATAAGACCAAGGGGAGTCAGGGTTTAAGATCCTGCACTTCCTGGCAGAGTGGTTCTCTGAGAATGCAGGGCGGCCCGGACCCGCGTCTTTTCTTTTATTTTTCTCCTGAGTTGTGCCAAAGGTGACTTGTTTGCGACCCTGATGGGGGAAGCAGGGTTTGTGTTAGGAATACCCCTCCAGCTGGATAGGAATCGATTCAAATCGTCGTCTCTCCTGGATAGTGAGAACTTGACTTGAGCAGCGGCAACGTAGATTCACTTAATTTAACGTTATGGTTAAATGGAAGATGATGATGATGGATAATGTTGCCACAATGAATACCTGATATGGTTATTAATGTTTGCACCCTAATAAAATGATTGCTTAGTACAGGTGCTAATATAGTTGACAGGTTAATGGCTTAAAGTCACTGCTAGCTCAGGTTAAAAGTTAATCATTATTACTTATGCTTTTCCGCAAAAAGGAAGTGTCAGCCAGATCCACTAAATAAAGTTTTGCATGATCCTTGGTGTCATTTATTTTTGGTTTATGACGGGTAAGTCTAGCTGAGTACATTCCTATACTCAGGGTTTATTTCCCTCTTGTTGCAGATGACCTTCTATATCAGGGATTCTGTAAGTATTGTCTCCACCCGGTGGGTGATGAAGACTAGATCATGGGCATGATCTCTGTTCTCTTATCTGAATGCTTTTGCGGGCTATGATCAGTGAACCAGTATGTGTATTTGAACTCGGGTGTGTAAGTTA